GAACTATTTTCTAATTATTTCTCAGCTTTATGCTTTCTCATCATCAGTGATATGCATAATTGATGGGGGGAGAGAGAGAAAAAAAGGGAGAGAGAAGGAGAAGCTTCTTGCAACTCTGACAGCAGCAGTGGGACTGATAGGCAATGAGATACAGAAAAAAACCTTGACTCTTGGGGTACAGGACTTGGGTTTGAATTCTCCCTCTGACTCTTACTCTGTGTGTGATATGACTGTGTAAGTATTATTTAGTTCAACCCTCTCATTTTATCAAGGAGGAAACTGGAGGAACAAAGTTAAGTAACTTCTCTGGGCCTCAGTTTCCTCCTCTGTAAAATGAGGCATTTGGACTAGATAACTTCTAAGGTTCCTTCTAGCTTCAGATCTATGAGTCTATGAACATATGGCTTCTCTAATGCTTGAAGTGATTCCAGGTTTTATGGCAGCCTAGCTATAAAATGACCCTCCTCTCACCACTTCCTTTCCTTGTGGTCAGAAAGTCAGTTCTCCTTTTTTTTTCTTCTAATCGCCAGGGTTTTCTTTAAATCCCAACTAAAATCCTGCCTTCTATAGGAAGGCTTCCCCAACACCTCTTAATTCCTGTGCCTTCCCTCTGTTAATTATTTCCTCTTTATCCTATATATAGCTTGTACTGTATATATCTGTTTGCGTATTGTCTCCTCCATTAGATTGTAAGCTCCTTGAGAGCAAAGACTATCTTACCTCTTTTTGTATCCCTAATGCTTAGCACAGTGCCTGGCATATAATAGGCACTTAATAAATGTTTACTGAACTGAATTTTGCTTCTTTTTGTATCCTAGACACTTCATAAATGTTTATTGATTAATTGATTGATTCTTCATCCCATTCTCTAAAAAAAAAAAGTTTCACTGGTGCCTTTAAAAAAACCAAAACCCAATATTGTACTATCCAATTTATACTTCCACCCACCCACCCACCATAAAACTTTTTCTTGTAACAAAGAAGCAAAGTTAAACAAAGCAAATGGACACATTGACCATGTCCAATATCACGTGCTTCATTCCATACTTGCAGCCCACTGCCTCCCTGCTGAGGGGAAGGAGTTTATATTTCATTGAAGGTGTCTAGAGTCCAGATTGGTCAATGCGTTACTGCATTGCTCCATTGATTCTCTGCACTCATCTGAATTCTGGTGCCTTTTCATGTTTTACTTTGCATTATTGTGGTCATTGTGAATGTTGTTCTCTTAGTTCTGCTTATTTTACTTTGTATCATAGGACCAAAGATTTAGAGCTGGAAGGGACCTCAGAGTTCAGTTCATAGATGTCTTCTTGTCATGATCTCTTTTCTTCCACAGGCATATAGACTATATAAGGTATAGGAGGAGCGCAAAACAAAAGAGTTAGCTTTTGTACCAGCCCAATGGACTTGCAGTATAATTAGATAGTAGTGAACATAGAGAAGATGCAATGATCTGGGAATATCAGTAGATGTAAGTCTAAGACGTGCTCTCCAGAGGAGCTGGTTGCTTGAGGATCCCAGCTAATATTTTTACAAATTCAGTTTAATGTTTCCAAGCTCCAGTTTCCCTATACCACTGTAATCTGTTTGAAGCTACAAGTTCTGCCTTTTTGGCTCAGATTACTTGTCAGTGAAGCAGGAATATGGTTCGACTACCTCATATAGACATTAAAGGAAAGGTTGGTTTTTCCCTTTCTCAAAAGCACACCGAGATCTTCCAGAGAAAATATCTATGTAATTGCCATGTAGTTATCAGCCCAGACTAACTTCAGTCTGTAATGGGGATTAGACCAGAACAGTTTTTTTTTTTCACCTGATTCTTTGACCCTATGTGAAACTTGGCAAATCTTTAACTCTTACAAGGGAAAATCTAAGCCAAGAGAAAATTTACTAGGCTGTTGGCTGCAAATGGTTGGGGTGTTATTTTGAAGCAGTTAAAAGCACTTCACATTTCTCTGATGCTAAATTATGACATCTTATCATACAAGTTTAGCAGCCGCTAATGTTTAGATTTCCAGGTAATGTAATCCAGCTGAAAGTTATTATTATTATTATTATTTAAGAAGCAAAGCTCATGTCTTAGAACAAGAGAGTATTTTGTTCTGGCCAGTATATAAATGTAATTTTTCAGCTATAAAAGGACAAAAGGTTTTGAAGTGTTGGGCGGTGTTTCCCAGCCTTGTTTTTTTGGCAGCTAATCATGGAGCTGTACCAATGCCTTCCAAATGACTTCCATTTTTGTAGCAGTGCGAAGAGTTTGTTAGATGAGGTTAGAGTAACATGATGGTGTGATGAGTAATGCTGAGGGTCCACTTTACAGAGGCAGCCATGGGTACTGGCCTAGACATTTCATCAACTGCCTATTCATCAGCACTGGCAAGAGCTAGACAGGTAATTCATTTTCCTTTTGATTTAAACCACCTTGGCTAGTGGCTGCCTCTCAGTTGTGTAGGTGCTTTTATATCTTGCCACCAAAGTTCCCTGAGCCAACAACAAATAGCATGGTAGATATAACAAGGAAGAGAAATGGAATTGTAGCTAGGTAGAACAGATGTCAAGATAGCATTTCTGCACAGCATCAATGAGGATGATTCAAATATTTTCTCTCTCTCTTTTATTCCTCCTTCCCTCCTTTCCTTCCTCTCTCCCTTCCTTCCTTCCTCCCTTCCTTCCTCTCTCCCTTTCTTCCTCCTTTCTCCCTCCCTTCCTTCCTTCTTTCCTCTTTTGCTTCCTTCCTTTTTCCTTTTTTCCTTCCTTCCCTCTCTCCTTCCCACTCTCTGTCCCTCCCTCTCTCCCTCTTCTTCCCTTCTTTCTTCCTCCCTCCCTTTCTTTTTCCTCTCTTCCTTCTTCCCTCCTTTCCTTCCTTTTTTCCCTTCATTTTTTTCTTTTCTTTTTCTTTCCTTTTTAATCTTCCCTTTATTTTCTCTTTCTCTTTTCTTTCCCACTCTATCAGGGCTAATTAGAGTCTGAGAGCACTCAAAGACATGTCTATTTTTGATGATTGGTATCTTAGTCCCAAAAGCCTCAAATAGTCTCTGGACCCACATCCTCATTCTCTGAAAACCATAACTCATAACTTCCTGGTCATCTTTTCTAAGAGACACTGTAGGTAGATGCAGGTATGGTGGTAAGTGTACATGCCTGGATTCAAAACGCTTCCATTCAAATCATGCCCCCCTTACTTACTGTGTGATATTAGGAAGGTTAATTAAATTCTCTTAGTTTGTTTCCTCTTTTGTTAAATAGAGTGAATAATGTTTATACAATCTACTACTTAGGTTTGTTATCAGAAAAGTACTTAAACCTTAAACAGCTAAAAAAAACTATTGGCCTAATAGTCAAGTAAATTAATGGCTATTTACTTCATAATTTATACTTGTGGATAAGAACAATAAGTAAGGGTCAGGTAAATAGCTGATCCTTTGGTTCCTTGAAGAAAAATATAAATGACTCTCAGTTAGATGTCTGAGGAACTGTGTAGTAATTTTTCTTGTTTCTCCATTTAAAAAAAATTATAAAACCATATAGCTTGCTTTAATACATGAATATATTTATATGTAAACACATATGCAATTCAAAATGCTTACCTTACTTTCTTACCCTTCTTTTCTCTTCTTTGTATTTTTTTAAATTAAGTTTTGTATTTTTCAATCAATGAAAATCCATCTTCTGTCTCACCCATTTCCCCCCATCGCAGGTGAGAAACAAAGAAAAATAAAACCTGCTACAAACATGTATAGTTAAGCAAAACAAATTCCCACATTGGTCATTTTTTTTAAAGTCTCAGTTCATATTCTGAGTCTATCACTTATTTGTCAGGGTATGAGCAGCATACTTCATCTTGTATTCTTTGAAATAGTGTTTGGTCATTGTGTTGACTAGAATTCTTAAGTCTTAAAGTTGTTTGTCTTTACAATATTGTTATTGTGTAAATTGTCCTCCTAGTTCTGCTTACTTCATTCTATATCAATTAATATAAATCTTCCTAGGTTTCTCTGAAACTGCCCCCTTCATAATTTCTTACAGCTCAATAGAATTCCATCACAATCATGTACCATAGCTTGTTCAGCCATTTCCCAATTGATGAGTACCCCTGAGATTCCAATTCTTTGCTACTGGAAAGAGAGCTTATGCAGTGTGTTTTCTAGGGAATTGGCCAGTACTGATGAAGGTCATTAATAAATAAAATTGTCCTTTTTGCTTTTATTTAAATATTGCCATATAATTTTTTGGGAGTAGAAATAACTGATGTTTAGCACTTTAAAGTTTTCAGAGTACTTTACATATTTTATCTCATTTGAACCAAATAATAACAATAACAATAATAATAAAAGGACAGTGCCTGGCACATAGTAGGTGCTTAATAAATATTTATTAACTGACTAACTCACAATGACCCTATAAGGAAGGTATTTCAGGTATTGTTTTCATCTCAGCTTCATAGATGAGGAAAACTGAGGCTCATAGATTATCAAGTGATTTGTCTATGGTCCCATTTCTAAGTGTCAGAGGTGAGATTTGAACCCAGGTCTTCTTGGCTCCAGGTCCAATATTCTCTCCACTATGATTTATTGCATGGAGCTCTACCCATTCATACTCATGTTTCATTTATTCAGATGCCTTCATGGAATTGGTTCTATTTCTCCCCTTCTAAATAACAGTAAGATTTGTCTCCATACATGAATGACATTACTATATACATGCATATTATCTTAGCTCTTTTATCTCATTCTTTATAGATAGAAATATCAAGTCATATGTGTGTATGTTTATATATATTGACATGTATGTGCATGTGCATTTTATTTGAAATGCAATTACTTTTGTTTTTTGTAGAAATACAAATGTATTCATGGATATCAGTATTAACTCAAAGGACATAGCCAGTTATTTTCATTGAGAATCAAACAAAAAATTCTATGCTAGACTTCTGATTTTGTTCAAAGTTTGTCTTTACAAACAAAGATTAGCTCTAAGCAGAGTATTTCTTTCTCCCTTAGGTTCTGATCACCTTCGTGAAAAGGATGGACTTTGGGCGGTCTTGGTCTGGCTTTCAATCATTGCGGCCCGAAAACAGAGTGTGGAGGAAATTGTTCGAGACCACTGGGCCAAATTTGGTCGCCACTACTACTGCAGGTGAGGATTTGATCAAGGTTATAAGTATGGACCTTGGAGAAACATTTTAGAAAGTAGTCCTCAGTGCTCTGGGTAACTAGAATACTTATAGGGAGGTCTCAGGTTACACTAGGGGATCACAGGGAGTGGCTCTGTGAAGCAGCAAACTTAAGTGAATAGCAGTAGTATTCTTTGCTAACTATGGGCTTTATAAATTTTGTTGTTATTCAGTCATGTCTGACTCTTCCTGACCCCATTTGGGATTGTCTTGGCAAAAATACTGGAATGTTTAGCCATTTCCTTCTCTCACTCATTTTGCAGATGAAGAAACTGAGGCCCAAAGGGATTAATGGCTTGCTAAAGGTCACAGTGGCAGTAAGTAGCAAAACTAGGGCTACAGTTCAGATCTTGGGTCTCCCAATTCAGCACTCCAAGTTCAGGATAGAAATCACAGAAATGAACCCGTAGCACAAAATTGGTTGCCAAAAATTAACTCTGGGTTAGGAGAAATAGAGAAAATGGGTTTTATATAAGAGATGACAGCTAGTGAGAGTTATAGAAGCTTAGGGGTGGATGGATGGCTCACAGAAAAAACAAAGTTTGAGTATTACTGATCCTGGGCAGCCAGGTGGCACAGTGGACACAGTGCTGGGTCTGGAGTCAGGAAGACGCCTCTTCTTGAGTTCAAATTCAGCTTCAGACATTTACTAACTATGTGACCCTAGGCAAGTCACTTAACCCTTTTTGACTCAGTTTTCTCATCTGTAAAATTAGCTGGAGAAGAAAATGGTAAACCACTCCAGGATCTTTGCCAAGAAAACTCCAAATGGGGTCGTGAGGAGTCAGATATGACTGAACTGACAGCAACAATAATCACCAATTCAATTGTTTTTATTAAGTGCTCTCTATGAATGAGTAAGGCCTTTTGCTAGGCACTATGAATACAAAAACCAAGTACAAAAAGCAGTCCCTGACCTCAGGGAACTTGTATTTTACTGGATATAAGCTCCTCATAAGCTTACATTCCACTAATGTAGGAAAATCTCAGAGAAATTTTGGTTGTTTCTATATTGTTGAGGTCCCTAGGTGGTTCAATGTATAAAGTGCTGGACCTGGAGTCAGGAAGACTTGAATTCAAATCCAAGCTCAGGCATTTATTAGTTGTGTGACCCTGGGCAAGTCACTTAACCTCTGTTTGCCTTAATCCATTGGAGAAGGAAATGGCAAACCACTCCAGTATCCTCGCCAAAAAAACAAAAACAAAAACAAAAAACAACCCATGGACAGTACTGGCATGCTATAGCCCATGGGCTCATGAAGAGCTGGACATGATTGAATGACCAAACAACACAAATTATACTATTGAGAGTTGCTAGAACTTGGTGCTTAATTGAGTTTCAAGTAGGTTTAAAAATAGGGTTTGCTTTTTTAAAGAATCTTTTTCTGCATCTTGAAAGGTCATGTGCTGAGATAAATATCAGAGAAAAAGGTAATCCATGACACTCCTAAGTAATGTCTGAGTGACTTTGAATTCCAGTCATGCAATACTCAGTGAAAATTAAACATTAGACAGTTGGCTGTGCCTGATCAGTCTTGAAGGGCTGAGATGAAATGGATGCCTCCAAAGGACTTATGTCACTGAAATGAGAAATTTTGGAGCAGGTAAAGTCTTCTTCAGCTTTTATTTATGACAGGGGCTCAGGAACTTGAATTCTTATGTCCGAGGGACCTGAGGCACACTAAACCTCATTCTTCTTTTTTTTCAGTCATTTATTCAGTTTTTTTAATTTAAATTTATTTATTTATTGTTTTCAACATTCACTTCCATGAGATTTTGAGTTTTAAATTGTCTCCCCCTTTCACTTCTTTCCTCCCTTGCCTGAGACAACACACAATCCAATATAGGTTCCACATATACATTCATGTTAAGCATATTTTCCCATTAGTCAAGATGTAAAGAACAATTAGAACTAATGGGAGGAATCATGAGAATGAAGCAATAAAACAAAACAACAAAGGAAAAGGTGAGCAAATAGTAAGCTTCGATCTGCATTCAGACTCCATATTTCTTACTCTGGGTATGGATAGCAATTTCCATCGTGAGTCTTTTGGAGTTGTCTTAGATTCTTGCATTGCTGTGAAGAGCAAAGTCTATCAAAGTCAGTCATCTATGGTCATTTTCTGCTTTTTTTCATGCTGTTTGCCTATTTTCTGGCTTTTTACAGAAACAAAACAAAACAAAAAACTGTTGAGCTCTCCTGCTAGAGCAAAGGGTACACTTACCCAAGCTTCTTTTACTGCTCACTGGGGCGTTGCACTTGAATGTTTGGCTCCTGGTCACCTGGGCTTTGCACAGGGATGTTTCGTTGCTGGTGGATTTGTCAGTCTGGAGCTTTCCTTCTGGAGTTGTGCTTCCCACAGTTGTGTTGAGGCACTGGGTGATTTCACTGCTGGAGAACGCTGTCACCAAGATGGTATCTACCAGTTCCCCTTCCTGTATTGAGGTTCTCAGGGGTCCTGGTGTTGGCACTTGCCTGTTCTACCAACCTGGGTCTCAGGATCTCACCCTGGTATGCTGAGGTGGGGCTGATGAGGTCTAGAGGTTAGGGGTCCTAGAATCCCAAGATCACGGCACATGGGTCCTGCCTGAAAGAATTCGACCCAAGCCTTCTTTCAGCCAAAAACAAGGTTTATTGAAGATTCGCCATATTAGCTAGACTCTTAAGGAATCTGAGCATCTGTGGGCTATTGGCTAGATTGTGAAAAACGGAGCAGTGGCTAGCTTATAAGAATCCCAGCCACTAAACCTCATTCTACAGCACAAGCTGATCTGACGGCACATTTCGATCCAGTTTATTGTCACTGTCCAGTTTATTGCCAAGCTTTCCCATCATTATAAGGTCTGATCATCCCCTGTTTGATAAACATCTTCTATCTCCTGATTTGTATAGTGGCCATTTAGTCTGCTGCCTGCATTAGGAAGAAATCATGTTATGACTAAGGTGTTTATAATTAGTTTCATTTTTTATACCAAGAGCCAATGCTCTAATCGCTTTTCTGAAAACAAGGACCATATTAGAGATTATCCCATAAGGACATTTTCAGTCTGTGTATGAAGATGTACTAAGACATTAAATTCTTGCCAAACAAAACATCACATTCATTCAAAGGAAAAGAAAGGAGAAATAGATACAAATAACAAGTAAATGTTACCCTTTACCCCAACTAGTGGCTAGTTGAAGATTTGTTGAGGATGTAAGCTGTCTGTTATACCATTTTGCTTTTATGGGAGGGTTATAAAACAATTAAATGCTGCTATACTATTTTACAGTATAGGTCAACTGTGGGGGTGTCTTGCCTCTGTCACTTACTAGCTATGTGACCTTTGGCAAGTATACTCAAGGGACCTGGGTTTAAAGCCCAGCTCTGCCACTTAACTGCCTGGGTAACCTTGGGCAAATCTCTTAGCCTCTCTGAGTCTCAGTTTCTTTTTTTTTTCTTTCATCCAAAGACAAGGTTTATTAAAGATTCACCATATTGGCCAGACTCTTAAGGAATCTGAGCATTTGTATCTCTAACGAAAGCGGGCCAGATTCAGTTTCTTAATCTGCAGACCAAGAAATGAAATGGACTAGATGACCCTTGAGGTACCTTCTAGATCTGAATGTATGATTCTAAAATCCCAAGTTAATATCTCCAGGTCCTAGTTTCTTCATCTATAAGAATGAGGGGGTGGGATTACACAACTTCTAAAGGTACCAGCCAGTTCTAACTCTGTGATCGAGTGATCTTGTGTAAATTAATTTGCAGAAATATGTGAGTTGTTCAGGGGGTGACCTTGTAGAACCGTGTCATATAGGCCAATGAACTACAAATGAATGCAGTGTGCAAAGTATTTGGTTTCATGCCCCTGTGTGTTGGTGTATAGAGATAAGAGTATTGGTAAATAGGCCCTCATCTCCTCGTACTAGGACTTACTGCAATTGCTTGCTGGTTGGTCTGTCTGTCATAAATCTCTCCTCACTCCAGTGCATCATCTATTTAGCCACCAGAGTGATTTTGCTACAGCACGGATCTGACAACATCACTCCCCCTATTCAATGAACTCCAGTGGTTCCCCATCACCTCCTGTATTAAGTATGAAATCCTCTGTTTGGCATTCTAAGCCCTTAATGACCTCCCTCCCCTCCTCCCCACCTATCTTTCCAGTATTCCTACACATTACACCCCACCACACACTCTTATGTCCAGTGAAGCTGACCTCCTTGTCATTCCTCAAACTCCGCTCCTTGTTTCCAGGCATTTACACTGACCAAGCCTCCCTTCTCAATTCTGGCTTCCTTCAAGTCCCACTGAAATTCTCATCTTCTACAGGAAACCTTTCCCAATCCCTCTTAATTCTAGTGCCTTCTCTCTACTGATTGTTTCATCTTTATCATGATATAACTTGTTTGTACATGGTTGTTTGGATGTTGTCTTCTCCATTAGACTGTGAGCCACACTGGCGTATGGAGAAAAGTACATTTGTAAATAGCAAATAAGTAAACTGACTGAGGTCTGAGCATTTCCCATCTAATGATGAACATGTTCTCCATGTCTGTGGTCCTGTCTAACTCAGGGCCTCTTCAAATTTTATGGAAACTTACTACTACTATGTTGTTTTGCACGTGGGAAAGCACTGATTACCCCATCTGTTGGGTGTTTTCCATCTCTAACAATCAGTGACTTTAAAAAGAATTCACTACTGAAGTGTACAATCTTCTCAGGTAAAGTGTAACCTATTTTTGGTAAGTTTTCTTTTTTGGGGGGTAGTGTGGGGAGAAGAATAATAAAGATACAACTATGCAAGAAATAAATACCAGGCTGAAATGAAACTTGCTAGGGAATTTTAGATCGGCACAATGGAATTCCTAAAGTCCCAGTTTGGCTGATAACTTTGTTCTAGAAGACTAGTGAAAGAAGAGCAGCATGGTATAGTCAGTCAGTCAGTAAGCATGTACTAATTGTACTAAGTGCTGAAAATTTATTGTTGTTTAGTCAGATAAGATAATATTTGCAAAGTTCTTAGAACAGTACCTGGTACCTTTTTTTGTTGTTGTTCAGTTTTATCCAATGGTTGTGTCCAACTGTTCGCGATCCCATTTGAGATTTTCTTGGTAGATACTCGAGTGATTTACCATTTCCTTCTCCAGCTCATTTTACAGATGAGGAACTGAGGCAAACAGGGTTAAATGGCTTGCTCAGTCACAGAACTAGTAAGTATCTGAGGTTAGATTTGAACTCAAGAAGATGAGTCTTCCTGATACCAGGCCATCTAGCTGCCACAGTGCTGAAGACACAAAGAAAAAAAAGTCCCTGCCCTCAAGAACTTACACTGTAATGGGAGACACAACATGTAAATAACTAGGAACATATAAGATGAGTTATTGTTGTTCTTGTTATTTGATACAAGAAATATAAGGAGTAGATGGAAGGTGCTCTGAACGGAGAAGGCATTAGCAGCTGAGGGATGGGATTGGCAAGGGAGGAGAAAAATGCCTCCAGCTAGAGAAACTTGAACTGAGTCTTTAAGGAAGGCAGAGAAACTGAGAGGTAGAGGTGAAAGGGCAGACCATTCCAGACATGGCGGACAGCTAGTATAAAGATGGGAGATGGAATACCATGTCTGAAGAACTAAAATCAGGGTAGCAATGTTGGATTATAGAACATGTGAAGGGGAATAAAGAAGACTGGAAAGGTAAGAAGAAACCTGGTTATAAAGAGCTTTAAATGCCAAACAGAGGAGTTTATATTTGATTTTGGAAATAACAAAGAGCCACTGGGGTTCATTGAGCAGGGGTGGTGGTTGGGGAGTTGACACACTCAGACTTATGCTTTAGAAAAATCAACTTAATGATGAATAGGCTGACTTCAGAAAAACCTGGAAAGACTTGTATGGTCTGATGCTGAGTGAAGTGAGCAGAACCAAGAGAACGTTGTACACAATAACAGCCACATTGCATGATGACTAATATTGATAAACTTAACCCTTCCTGGCAACACAAGGATCTAAGACACCTCCAGAGGCCTTGTGATGGAAAATGCTATCCACACCCAAAGAAAGAACTATGGAAGCTGAATTGCTATTTTTTTTCTCTTCCGTTGAGTTTTGTTTCTTCTTTCTGATGGTTCCTCCTATTGGTTTTAATTTTTACTTACAACATCACTAAATGTGAAAATATGTTTAATATGAATGTAAATGTATAGCCTATATCAGATTATGCACCATCTTGGGGAGGGTGGTGGGGAGGAAGGGAGAGAAAAATTTTAAACTCAAAAGCATATGGAAGTGATTATTGATAAATCAAAATAAATTAATAAAAAAAAGAAAAAAAAAAGAAAAATCAACTTAGAAGTTAAGTGGAGTATGCATGGGAGCAGGGAGAATTGAAGCAGGGAGACCAGTAAGAAAGCTATTGACATAGTTTAGTCAAGAATTGTTGAGAGCTTGAACTAGAGCTGTGGCAATATGAGTCAAAAGAAGGGGACATATACTAGAGATGCTGTGAAGGTAAAAATAAGATGTGACAATGGACTGCATATGTGAAACGAGTGAGATTGAAGAGTGATACCAGTATTTCAAGTCTGAGTGTCTAGGAGAATGGTCATGCCCTTGATAGTAATAGGGAAGTTGGGAAGAGAAGAGAGTTTGGGGAGAAAGATAGTGATTGAGTTCTATCTTGGATATGTTGAGTTTGAGATGCCTACAAGACATCCAGTTTTAGATGTCTAAAAGGCAAATGGTGATCTATGCAGCTCAGAAGAGAAGCTAGGGCTGAATATATAAGTCATCTGCATAGAGATGATAATTGAACCTAGGGGAGGGTGATGAGATCAACAAGTGAAATAGCAAAAAGAGTAGAGAGAATAAAGATGTCTAACACAGAGCCTTGGAAGATACCTACAATTGTGAGAAGGAACAGTCAGACAGATAGGAGAACTAGCAATGTCATGAAAACCCAGAGGAGAACATATTCTGGAAGAAAAGGTGATCAACATTGTCAAATGCTGCAGAGAAGTCAAGAAGCATTGGAATTGAGAAAAGGCCATTAGTTTTGGCAATTAAGAGATCGTTGATAATTTTGGCGAGCTGTAGAGGGGAAGAGCACTGGATTTGGAACTGGAGAAACTGCATTCAAATCTTGGCTTGGATAGCTTGATAGAGCATTTATTAAGTACTTACTATGTGCTTACTATTTATTAAGCACTTACTATGCTAAGTACTAGAGACACAGGTACTAGCAAGCAAGGCAGTTCTTGCTCTCAAGGAGTTTATTTACTACCTGCATGACCTTGGACAACCCACTTATAATTCTCTGGGCTTCAGTTTTCTCATCTCTAAAATGAGAAGGTTGGGTCAGACACTAGAGGATCTCCAACGTCCCTCCCACCTGCCAATCTATTGTCCTGTGAACCTTAGCTGCAACTAACCAAGTCTTCAGGCATTTAATTCTTTCTGGCTGCTTCATGTGTATGCACAGCCTCTCTCTTTAGGCAATTCCTCTCCAGGACCCGGAAATAAGATCATCTGCTCGTAGTTCCTGTAGAGCACAGGTGTTTTCCAAAGGCCTTGCATGTGTTTACTGGCTTAGCCAGACCTTCCTGGCATTCTGGACTGGAGGATACAGCCAGGTTGATATGGCTGCAGGGTACTCAGAAAGGACATTCTATAGACACTGTTTCCCAAATTGGGTTTCTGGGAAGAGATAACAAAGTTTCAAATGTTCAATTTGTATTGTGTGAGGGCTTTTATGAAGTTTATTATAAGAAAGTGCCTATTTTCTGTAAGGTTTGCTTGGGTATAACAATTGCAGAAAGTGTCTATCGATTGCTAAGGATGGAATTGCAGTCTCCCTCTCCCCACTTTAATGAGATGTTTTTTGGTTCAGTATATTGCCTGGAAGGAGTGGTAAAAGATCAGATGACCTTAGAAGTGCTTTCCAACCTTCTGGTTCTATGATTATTCTCACTGTGTCTCTGCCTTCATAACAGGTTTGATTACGAGGGACTAGAGCCAAAAATGACATATTACATCATGCGAGACCTGGAGGCCTTGATCACTGACAAGTCATTCACTGGCCAGCAGTTTGCTGTGGGGAGTCATGTCTACAGTGTGGAAAAAACAGACAGCTTTGAATATGTGGACCCTGTGGATGGCACTGTGACCAAAAAACAGGTACTGGATGGGAGTCAAGGCATTGAGGAACGTTGGGGAATAAAGTTCATTTGATGTGTCTCAAATCGACAACCACTTCCTTTTTAAGGAAGACTTCAATTCTGTAATTCAATTAAATAAACATTATGCATATGCTGGGTATGTGGGAGAGATATAAAGTCTAGATAATGTGGTCCCTGTTTTCATTGGAGTTTATTGTGTAATGGATAGAAAGCATTCTCAAATAAACATGATCAATCAATCAATCATAAGTATCTGTTATGTACCAGACACTGTACTAGGTGCTGGGGACATGAAGATAAAAAAAAAAAGAAGATGAAACAGTCCCTTCAAGGAGCTAACACTCTTTTGAAGGAGATATGATGTATATACATAAGAATATGCATAACAAATATATGCAAAGTAAATACAAGGTAGTTAGTGAAGGAGATAGTTAATACATAAATGCATAAGAGGGTGTAAGCAAAGCATTTGAATGTGATCCTGATGTGAAAAGTCTTTATTGACATGGGGCACCTGGGAAGGCTTTCAGGAAGAGCGTATATTTGAGGGACTCTTAGAGGGGTGGCTAGAATAAGGAATAGGAGGATAACGTAACTGGGATAGGGTAAAAAGAGAAGCTGAGAAGGACAAATAGTGAGTAAAAATAAGATGGAGGGAAATTCACAAATAGTAATTTTAACTTTGAATGTGAATGGGATGAACTCATTCATAAAAAGGAAACAGATAGCAGAATGGATTAAAAATCAGAATCCAACAATATATTGTTTGCAAGAAACACATTTAAGAATGAGAGATACACATAGAGTTATTTGAGATGCAACTTAAAGGATGGGTAGAAATCCTATGGGAGAAAAAGTAGTGTAAGGGCCTAGGGGTACGGAACAAGCAAAGGCACTTAGGTAGCTAAGTAATACAGTACATAGAGTTCTGGAGCTACAGTCAGGAAGGCCTGAGTTCAAATTCTGTCTCAGATACTTCCTGGCTGTGTGACCCTGGGTATGCATTTAACTTCTCTCTGCCTCAGTTTCTTCCACTGTGAAACAAGGATAATAATAATAATGATAATAGCACCTACCTCCCAGGATTGATGTGAGGACGAAATGAGATAATATTTGTAAAGCACTTTGCAGCAGCTGTATAAATGCTAGTGATGCTGCTGCTGCTGCTGCTGCTGCTGATGATGACAGGAGGACATTAAGCAAGTACAGGAGAAATGAGTCATTTGGGTTGGCTCGAGTTAGGGAATGGGGGCAATATGAGCTGAGGATGGGAAGGTAGGGAGGACCAGCCTAAGGAATTAAACCTCATTCAGTAGGTAACAACGAACCTTTGAAGGTTTTGTTTTTAGCGTTAGAGTGACATGATTAGCTCCACACATACAAAATATGAGGCTGGAAACAGTGGGAAAGACATAGGTGGGGAGGGGGGAAGAGGAGGAAGTGTGAAGGTGAAATAACCTGTTAGGAGACTAATAGTCCCGGTGGGTAGTAAAGGGATAGGGTGTCCATACTAAGGCCTAAGGTGGTGGCAGTGATGATAGAGAAGAGATGGGGGTGAGAATGACTGAAGGGGCAAAATTGAGAGGATTAGATAACTGGTTGGATCTGAGGGATGAAGGAGAGGAGAGGGTCAAAAATATCATTAATAATAATAGCTACAGAATTATTAAAAAAATATTAATAGCTAGCATTCGTATTTATACTATGAAATATTATGTTTTAGGGCTTGCAAAGTCTTGTCCTCACAACAACCTTTGTGAAGTGGTTATAGTGAATAATAGGGAAACTATTACTGTCCCCATTTTATAGATTAAAAAACTGAAGTTGAAAGTAGTTAAATGAATCATTTTCCCAGCATCAAAGAGCTAAGTAAGTATCTGAGGCAGTATTTGAGCTCATATCTTTCTGTTGCAAGGTCACACAGGCAGTAAATGCCATAGGTGAGTTATGAACCCAGGTGATGCACACTGAGTCTATAGTAAGGCCCCATGCTACCTTATAAAACATACAAAGTTAGTTGCACGACCAATCTATTTTCCATTTACTGCACTCATCATAGGATCTTAGGTCTAGAGATGGAAGGGACCTCAGAGTTCATAATAACAGATAGTATTTATATAATAGTTTAGTATTTGGAAATCATTTTCAACGTATTATCTCATTTGGTCTTTACAACAACCCTGGGAAGTAGGTGCTATTATAATCCCCATTCTAGAGATAAGAAAATTGAAGAAGATGGAGGTTAAGTGACATGCCCAAGGTCAAGCAGCTAGTAAGTTTCTGAGGCAGGATTTGATTTGAGCTGGAAAGGACCTCAGAGGTGAGAAGAATGTTGTTGTTGTTATTGTTTAGTCATTTGTCATGTCTAACTTTTCGTGACCCCATTAGGTGTTTTCTTGGCAGAGATACTGGAGTGTTTTGCCATTTCGTCTACCAGCTCATTTTACAGATGAGGAAACTGAGTCAAATAGGGTTAAGGTCACATAGCTAGTAAGAGTCTGAAACCAGATTCAAACTATGAATCTTCCTAACTCCAGGCCTGGCACTCTAACCACTGTGCCATCTAGCTGCCTATGTGATAATAGTAGCCGTACATTACTTTAGGGTTTGCAAAGTGTCTTCCATATATTATCTCATTTGATCCCCTGAAAACCTTGAGGTACTTTTATTATCCCCATTTTAGAGATGAGAAAATTGAAACAGACAGAGTTTAAGCGATGTGCCCAAGGTCAAACAGCTAGTAAGTTTCTGAGCCAAGATTTGAACTCACGTCTTCCCAACTCCAAGTCTAGCACTTATCTACTAGGCCACTTAGCTGCCTTATAGCACAATTCCACCCTACCCCTTTATTTTACAGATGAGGAAACTGAGGCTCAAGCTAGTTAAAGGACTAGTTTAAGGTTACTCGAATAGCATCAGAGGTAGAATTTGAACTCAGGTCTTTCGATTCTAGAGTCAATGTTCTTTCCATTGTACCAGGCCCTAGAACTGGTACCAAAACTTTGCCTCTCCCCTACATTGTAGCACAGGCCCAGATCAGGTGACAAAAATATCATAAAATCCTGATATACAGCCCCTTCATCTATTTTTTACATGATGGAATTTTTTTTTTTTTTTTTTGCTTTTTGGTGAAGCAATTGGGGTTAAGTGACTTGCCCAGGGTCACACAACTAGTAAGTGTCAAGTATCTGAGGTCAGATTTGAACTCAAGTCCTCCTGACTCCAAGGTTGGAACACTATCCACTGTACCACCTAGATGCTCCAACATGATGGAATAATTGAGATGATATTGAAACTGAAACCACACTGATTTGAGACTTTGCTCTAGAACCACAAATAAAACTTGTGGAAAGAGCTGGTTAGGAAGGCAGCAAATCTGGCTGTAGCAACCGTACTCTTTCCCATGGGCTGACTCATAAGGCACAGTTTCTCAAACAAGAGGCCATCTTTGGTCAGCCTTATTGATTGTACTCCAATGGTTCCCAACGTGATGAAGTCCTATCTATTGACCCACAGGGAAACTCAAATAATCAGAACTGTGCCCTGTGGGGAAACATGGTAAGACTGCCCCTGGTACCCAAATTTGAGAGGAGCAAGCCCTACAGGGACGATACTGACTACATTAACGGACAGACAACATGGCTTAGTAATAACTAAGATTTGTTCAGGATGTCCCAGAAGTCTTAGTACCATTTTAAGCTACTAAAGATTGTTATTGTTCAGTTGATGTCCAAATCTTTGTGACCCCATTTGGAGTTTTCTTGGCAAAGATACTGGACTGGTTTGCTATTTCCTTCTCCAGCTCACTTTACAGATGAGGAAACTAAGTGACTTGCCCAGGGTCACATAGTTAGTAAGTGTCTGAGATCATATTTGAACTCAGGTCCTCCTGGCTCCATCTTTGTCAGTTTAAACAAAGAGTCTGAAAATGACTGAACCACAGCAACCTCATGGCTCCAGGGTCAGCCATCTATCCACTGGCCACCTAGCCGCCCTCTACAGACTACCCTAAAACTTTTGAGACACCGTATAGGGTGCTTTAAAGTTCGCAAAGCACTTTACATAGATTATGTCATTTGAGCATCATAACAACCCTAGGATAGATCCTCTTATTCCCATTTTACAGATGGGGAAGATAAGGCTGAGGAGAGGCTGACTGAACTTGTTCAGGGTCACATAGCTAATAAGTGTCTGAGGAAGGCAGTCACCAAGTAGTTATTAAGAACCTACTTTGTGCCAGGCACAGTGCTAAGTGCTGGGGAGATAAAGAAAGGCAAAATACAGTACCCACTTTCATAGACCTCGTAGTTTAATGGGAGACAACATGCAAACAGCTATGTACAAAGATTGGAAAAGTGTGTGTGCATTGTGGGCAGAGGGGAAGGTTCTAAAGAGCTTTGGATACCAAACAGATGTTTTCATATTTGATCCTGGAGGTGATAGGGAACCATTGAAGGTTATTGAGGTTAAAGCAAGTTAAATGACTCATCCCAAATCACTTCGTGTCAGAGGTAGAATTTGAACCCAGGTCTTTGGCAGGAGTGGTGGTGCTGACATAGTCATACCTGTGCATTAGGAAGATCACATTGACAGCTGAGTACAGAATGGCCTGGGGTTGGGCAGACACTTGAGGCAAAGAGGCCCATCAGAAAGGTATTGCATTTGTCCAGACTTGGGGTCATGAAGTACTGCACCAGGACAGCAGAAGTTTCAGAGGAAAGGGATGCCCCTTTCAAGATATTGTATGTGGGGGGGATGAGAGGGAGTGAGAACATGAGGATAGCACCCAGGATGTGAACCTGAGAGGATAATGGTGCCCTCCATGGAAATAGAAGAGGGAAGGGTTTGGGGATGGGAAATAATAGTCAGGATTTATATAGCACTTTAAGGTTTGCATTTGGTATCTCAAGTCTTCCTGACTTTGTGACCATGGTGGTTCTTGAATTCTTGAGTCACGCATCCTTTCAGATCTTTCCATGAAGGAATCTACAACTTCTC